CCAAACATAGCCCACTGGAAGTTCCTGGAATAGCCATGATGTGGATCTTTACATCCCACAAAACCATCAGTGAGTATTTGATCCTCTGTGCTGGGACTGATTGCTCTGTATCCCTTCTGAGCTGTCCTTTTACATAATCTCATCTTCCACTTCTGCCTTTATTTTTTTTCCCCCCATTGAGAACAAATGAAGTAATTAGAAGTTTTCTTCAGGCACAGGGAGGAGCAGACACAAAGTATGTAATAAGTTTTGTCTAAACTGTTTTCCTTTCGTAATGCATGCCCTAAAGCTGTGTGCTTAGCTGGCTTCAGTGTAATTGTTCCTACCCTGCAAAGCCTTCCGGGCTGCCCAAAACAGAGCACCAAAACTCACACCAAGCCCCTTCCCTAACATCCTTCTTCCAGAGCCACTTCTTTCTTCAGCCAGTGAATGAAAATTAAGAGTTTGATTCTGAAGATCCCAATTTTGAACCTCCCTGACAGTCTCTGTTGGTGAAAATATTGTGTGATCGTGTAATTAAACACGCTGTAATAATGCAGATACACAAATAACTTTGCACAGAGGAAGTTTACTCCAGCATTCCCTAGTTTTTCTCTGATAAACTTTACCATCCATTGATAAAATTTTTAAGAAGTTATCCCAAGGAGAATGATTATAGGATCCTATTTTCACTTGCATGTTTACTTTTGCCACATTATGACCATTTTGCCTTAAAATACTGTTACCATGCCAGCTTGCTCTCAGCTACAGAAAGTTTTGTGCTTCTGGAATATTTTAAATTATTTAAAATCATTTTGTGCCTAGCATTTAGGCCTGGGATGGGTTTTCTCTAGGCATTTATCTGCTTTTAGGAGCAGGGGAGCCACTGCCTGTGCCCACAGCTGGGGAGAGGGGCAGGAAGCAGGAATGGGAATGGGAATGGGAATGGGAATGGGAATGGGAATGGGAATGGGAGTGGGAATGGGAATGGGAATGGGAATGGGAATGGGAATGGGAATGGGAATGGGAATGGGAATGGGAATGGGAGTGGGAATGGGAATGGGAATGGGAATGGGAATGGGAATGGGAATGGGAATGGGAAGCAGTTCCAGCAGGGGAAAAGGAGGACAGATGGGTGAGAAGAGGAGGAGAACAAACAAGGGGATGAGGAACACAAGGGGTGGAGGCAATGAAGGGTAGCCTGGTGCTGAATTTGAACCTAGGCTTTAGGAACAGGAGCAGGGGGTGGAAACAGAGGCAAGAGAAACACAGAGAACAAGAATAAAGAGCTTGGATGCAGAAAGCTGAGACTGGGGACTGCTGATAACTAGAGATGAGACATTTTTATCACAAGAAGTAGTTGTAGGATGGAAGGCCTGGACAAGGATTGGGATTGCTAATGTGAGCAAAATCTGATTCTTACCAGACTGATCAAAGAAAGAGAGCTTGAAAGGAATGGAGGTCAGAGCCTCAGAAACAGTAGAGAAGTCTGTCCACCAGAAAAGATTTTGTGCTTAACTGGGACTTTAAATGTGTTTGTTTCTCTGTGGTCAGCAAATATCTGTGAAAATGTCTGTTCTGTGGTGCTGGTGTTCCAGAAGGATCACAGCCTGTCCATACCATCCCTTACTGCCTCAGTTCAAGGGACCACAATGTCCCTGTTGGTGCTAAAAATAAGGGCCAGTTGCTTAACCTATAGATGTCTGTATAAGACCATACAATTATCTCCTGTTTATTTAACATTCCTGTGGCTTAACATTTAGAATATTTTTAAATGGTGTTAAAATCTTTCTTAGGATTAATATTTTCAGTCCTGTTTATGGGCACAGAGAAAATTTCTCGACACTGAAAATTTCTCCACACAGGAAATGGAAGGAATGATATTTTGAAATATCATTCAGAATATCACAGGGAAGGTGTGTGTGTGTGTGTCCAGTGATTCAGGTCTTAATGACAGGATAATACTCAGCTGTTTTCAAAGGACTCTAGTGTGGTTTGCTGTTCAGAATACATCTGATCTGAGGATGAATGTAATACATGCAGTGAAATGTGCTTCCTGCAGAACCAGCAATTTTTTATAATGTTTGAAAGTTGGGATTGTAGAGGAATGGATTGTAGAGGAAAGGATTTCAGGGGGAATGGTCTCATAATTAAGACATGGAAGGATGTAATGGAAGGTATGATGTGTGTCTCTGCCAATACCAGTGAACTTCTGTGTGCTTATGTTGCTTCAACACAGCATTTTTGTTTCAATGCTCTTATTTTGTGTCTCTTGCTTTCTGAGTACCTGACTTGGGGGTTCTTGAAGAGGTACCCAGCACTCAGCTGCAAATGAAGTTGGCATTTAAACATGTGAAATTCTGTAAAATGCTAAACAGACTGGAAAAGCAAGTCCTAACTGCCTCAGATTCTGTTTCTGAAATTAGTAGATCCTTTTTCTGTGTGTTTTATATACCTCGATTCCCTGTCTCTAAAATGGAGGTAACTTTGCTGCCTTCTCTCACAAGAATATTAGGAAAATAACACCATTGGCATTTGTGAGGCATTCAAGTGCTATATACTGACATGTGCTATTGAAAAGCCATTCTGCCTTCAGAACAAGGTCTGAATAGTGTACAATAAATATGTCAGAGAAGTTCAGAGTAAACAGTGACAAGAAAATAAAATCCTGAATAGCCAGTCACTAAAGGAATAGCCAGTCACTAAATGAGCACTGTGCACACTCTTCACTGAAGAGGATGGGGAAGGAGAGTGTATGCCTGTATAATGAAATTCTGTATCAAAACAAACACATCTGTAAAAGCCTAACTCACCTCCAACATCCAATCTAAGGATCTTTAATTTTTGTCCTTTTCCTATCTAAATCTTTGCAATTTTATAGACATTCTTCTGTCAATTTTCTGTTTAGAATAAATATTAGCAAATGAACACGGGCTTGACATAAAAGACTTTTTTGGTTTCTGACCACACTTTTAAGTCCAGGGTGGTGTGGCAGGGTTTGCAGTCGTTCCCTGTCTGTGATATTTAGTCAGTCCCTGCCTCAGATGAGTTTGCTGAGTCTTGGTTCTGTTTTTTCTTCATCACCTTGCTCAGAATCCATTTGGTCGGGGCGCGGAGATGCCAACAGGGAGCGGGAGAAGGCTGGATCAGCTCACTCGTCTCTCCACCTCCCACATCCCCCTGCCAGCCAAGCACTGTACACTTTTTTAGAAAGAAAATGCAATTGAAAGATCTGCCAAGGCTCCCCTGTGCTTCCCAGCTTCTCCTTCTCCTCAGCTTTTCCGTGGTTTCAGCCCTTCCCGTGCAATCCACGCTGAACATTGGCTCTTCCCGGTTCTGCTCAGCAGCCAGAGGAGAAAGGCTCGTGCCCTGTTTGTGTTGTGTTGAGGCAGAAATGAGGAATCATGGGCTGCAGTCCACAGCCACAGCCAGGCTTAGCCTTCCTTGGAGAAAGGGGAGAGCTGTGAGTGAAGGATTCTCTGCCACAGCGCTGGTTTCATGCAGCTCCTGCGTGGTATTTACAGGGAGTGGGGCTTGAGATGTGGGTTGTGTTTCACAGGCAAAATGCTGTCAGTAAATACACACCTGTCTCCTGTTGCAGCACTGGGGAATGGCATCTCACCCTGGACTTTCCTGCTCCTCATGCATTACTTCATGCATTTCCTTCCCTTGGAGAAAATAACAACACAGTTCTACTCCCAGCCAGGGGTGGCCAGGGGTAGGAAGCCCTTGGGAGCATCTCCCAGGTTAAACCCAGCTGCAGAGTCTCAGAACCAGCAAGGAATTCAACAGTCAGCTCATTGTAAATTCAAAGATTTCCTATGCTTTTTAATCAAATTCTTAGGATACAGAAGTTCCAAAAGCATTGAAGAAAAGGAAGCTGTGTTGATGTGTGGCAAAAGCAAAAATGCAGGAAAAGCTGATAATGAGGATAGTCCACACAGCCTCCTGATACAGTTTTGCAGCCACTGCTGTTCTCCTGTTCCTTCAGAAGCGTGGGCATTTTAAAAGAACCACCCAGTTTAGCCTTTGCCTACTAAATCTTTCAAGAAATACGCTCCTTCCATGATACCAGTTTCATAAATTATTGCACTGTGCAGAAGATGCTCAGCTGCCTCATTTGACCAGCTTTCAGTGCCTCTCTGGGTCCAAAAGCAAGCCAGTAATTAAGCAAGTAAAGCCTCAGTTTTACATTCATTTCCACCTTAGTTTACAAAAGCTAATTGTCATGTCTTTTATATATCTCCAGTATAAAAGACCCTCAGAGGGAGGGTGGAAATATTTTTGTCATAGTTGAAAAATAAGGTTTATTGTGCAAGGACCATGTGCAAGGGCCATGTGCAGCCATGTAACCTCTGTTTCTCCATCTGTAAACTGGATTTAATGTTCCTACAACTCACTGGGGAGGGCAGGCTTTGATTAACATGTATGATTGCCTTATACAAATGCAACTACTGTCACTGCTTGGGTTTATTAGCCACTAGCCATATGAAGAGGAAACATGTAGCAGAGTAATGTGCAACCAGGGTGAGCCCTCTCCATCGTTTGACCATCATGTAATTTATTTTCAGACTCTTGTCACCATGTGTGCATATTTAAAATAAAGCTACACTTATTCTGTAGCGCTGTAGAAATGAAATAATTTGATGTAGAGGCTGACATGCAGACAAAACACTGGTTTTTAAAGGGAGAATGCCCATAGATATAATTAAATACCTTCAGCAAATTTGTATTTTGTTTAGAAAATTTTCATAAGAAAAAAACAAAAAAATTTACTCCAATTTACAGAATCCAATATATTGAAAACATAAAAAAAAAACTGTTGCCAGGTCAGCCTGGTGTCTGGGAAGTGTTTTATTTGTGTGGGTAAACACGGATCAGTCGGGAGAAGGACTGCATTTCGAAATACGCAAAACCAATTCTACCGCATTTATTTTTTCTTCTCTCTGTGTTTCTCTCTCTCTCTCTCTCTCTCTCCCCGTCTCTCTCTGCCTCTCCCTCCTGAAAATCTCCTGCCACAGCGGCTGCATTTGCCTCCAGACTTGTCAGACACAGTGAGCCGTGCGAGCAAACAGGATCTGGCAGGATCCGCCAAACTGCTGAGCTCAGGATGTGGCGCCATGGCCATCGGCAAGAAGCACCTGGACTTCTAGTGATTTCTACTTAGCAGCTTCACCCTCATTTATGTGACACTCTAATTAGGAGTGTTAATGACTTATATAAATATTTTTCTTAATGATTTGACCCAGCAGTCTTTAAAAAATAAATGTTGTTATATGATGCCTTCCTTTTCTTTTCCTTTTATTTTTTTTTTTTTATTATTTTTTTTTTATACTCTGCTTTCTTTGTACTAATTTTGGTCTTGTTTGGATTTAGCTTCTGTTGTGTTGGGTCCTGCCATTGTTCTGCTCCATTGGAAACAGGTTGTATTTTGTTCCTTTCCTTAAAATACAAAAAAAATTGCCTTTACCCCTTAATTTCTAATTTATTATTTTTTTTCTACATTAAAAATAAAGGGACATTTTTCCAAAAATATTTTTTATATACTTTACATATAATATTTTGTATGATTAATGAGTTTATTGAAATAAAGGAATGGAACTAAGCAATTCATTGTCATGTGTTATTCAAACAGCAAACTACACACTTTTAAAAAACCATTCATTTCTGTAATTGAAATACCATTCTTAAATTTCATGAAATCTCTACACCATTTTATAATATATGTAACAATAAATTTATAATATGTAAGATAATTTTTATTTTAATATGCCAGTAATTGAGGATGGGGGGGTTTAAATCAGAATATATTATAGATAATTGCTTTGCCTTATGGCTTACTACATGCATTAAAATGCACTTGAATGGAATTTCCTAAGCAGAGAGGAAAGAATTGATTTCCTTATGTAGTTCAAAACAGTAATCCTAAACAATTGAAGTCAGCACTATGAAATTATGTCAACAGACATAATTCAAGATTGAAATTCAAACCGACAGCTACATTAATGCTGGGAAACCAGAGGAGTGCATTTGAGCTCGGGGAAGGATATCACAGCGAGCTGGTCTAAAGCAGGGCAGAATACACAAGTAATTCAGGCTTTTGTACCCTCAGATATACAATTTGTGAACTTCTAACTGTTCTGTATCCATCCCTGTGTCTCTCTCATCAAACAAAGGAACAGTGAAGCAAAGCTGACCTGGGAATTAAAGTGGTTTGCATTCTTTCTTCTGAGGCTGACTTCCATTTTGAAAGGTAATATCTTCTTCTCTGCAGAACTTCCAAGCCACCCAGCTGTAAGATTGCATTACAGTTTCAAAATTTCGTCTTTATAATAGTGTATTACATGGCTGGAGTGAAATTGAGTCTTCAAAGAACGTGTTAATAGGATGCAATAATGGTAACATATTTTGATGGGTTTGGAACCAAGACTTGGGGAAGTGGTTTGCTTTTTTTTCTTTTTTTTTTTTTTTCTGCAATCCAGGTTCTACTTTATTTTTTTTTTTCTCTTGACAACGCTGTGTAAAACAAAGACATAGCTTTTAAAACTGTCTAACTAATATGATGAATGTCAATCACTTAAAAAACTCCACTGTAGCATAAACACATACTGTATACAGCTTTTATTCTGAATTAGAATAATTGAATCAATGACAGTGATTTGCCAGGATGTCAAATCTATCCATCATATCCTGTCACTACCAGTTTATTTTTTGTGATCAAAATCAAAAAGACTACTATTTTGTCATCAGCTATTTCATTAGTAGTAACAATCAGGTTTTCTCTTCTATATTTTTTAGATATGCCTGTTACATTTTTTATTTCTAAAGACACAAATCCTTTTAAAATCTTTTCAAAATAAAGTTTCGGAACAGAACTGTCAGTTTAGTGAAGAAAAAAGACATCTACTTTCCTATGCCAACATATTTAAAATATTATCATTGATGTCTCAAACATTTTTTCTCTTTTTTGTATTATGTGTAACACTGAATGGAAGTTCTCATTAGATACATAATTGTGCCTTTTGAAAGCGTGAAATAATTTAAATACTTAGGATAAAGTGGTTTTTAACAAAGGTGAAGTTTTACATAGGATGTCTTTTTAATGTAAATAACACAAAACACAGCATTTCTTTGTGGAATGTAAAGTCACAAGACATATACATTGCTGCCAACATATTTAAATAGGTCATTGACTTAAAATACAGAGGAGAAAATATCCTGGAATATCACAGTCCCATTTCTAGTTAAGATATTACCTGAAAATTGTGGGTGAGCAGTGTGTGCATCCCTGATGTGTGCCCTGTGCATCTGGGAGGCTTCAGCTTCCAAAACTTCAGCAGGCTGATATTAAAGCTGACAAATGTTTTGAGTAATGAAAGGAGCTCCTTCTACAAATCTGCATGAGTTTGGTTTTTTTCCCTGAGTCACTAAAGGTGTTTTGTAAAGTGTTAGAGAATGCAGGTGGAACAGTGTTGTTTACCTATGGCATGGAGCAAAATTTCTCTTCTTTTCTCCCAAAATCTCCTATCAGTGACATGTGACAGTGTCTTTATCCAGCAAGCTGAGGGGTGAGCTACCTGATAGCAGGTAGAGAGAGGCTAGATATGGGGTAGATATGGGGTAGATACAGTGTGGATAAAATAAAGATTTCCATCATTGCACCAACAGCAGTTCTGACTTGGGAATCCAGAGAAATGTTTACCTGGTGATTTTCTGTGCCTTTTCCCCACAGCCACTCTGTGCCTGTCGAGCTCCTGTGTACAAAACATCCTTCTTCACTTCTGTCTTCCCTTGACTTGAAGGCAAATATTTAACTAAGGGGAGCAGCTCAGGTAATCGAGGAATGGGCACAGCCTCTTCTGACAGGCTGTGGCAATGTGCTACCAACTCCTTTTGGCATCTCCAGAGGCCCCTTGCTGGCTTGGGCAGAAAATCTGTGCCACCCTCACTCCTGCTCAGAGGGCTCCTCTCCACAGAGATTGCAGAATGAATTTTGTTTATTGCAATTTTTTAAGCAGCACTTCCTACTTTTTAGCAGGCTACAAACTGAAACCACCAAACTCAGCAGGGAAACAATAGATTCATCCCAGTGAAGACGTTCCCAATTCAGCACAAGAGCCTGATCTTTACAGAAATTGTGACACACAGTCAAGAAAGCAGTAATGAAATTTAAAACGTTGTGCCTTTAATATGTCAAATAAGAATTCTTTATATAATTTCTGTTGTGTTGAGGTTTTCAAAATATAAGTATTTGGAACATGAGAAGAATATTATCATAGATAAGTCTTTTTCTCTGTTTGTAAAGACATTTCAAAAGCAATTTCCAGGGTGCAGCTGAATTCAATTTTCTGTAACAGTAGCTACAAGCATCTGGAAATGGGCATTCAGCTACTCCAGATTTGATACCTGTGGTAGTACACAACTGGTTTGATATTTAAATTTTATATTTAGTAGTGATGCTGTTCCAAACACAGCTTTTGGGAAAGTTCAAAAGCCTAACTTAATCTTTTACCATGCCAGTATTGGTGGTGCTAATCAAGTTTCTCTGAAACCACGAGGTTGTAACACATCCCAGTAAAAATGAGGCTGTACTACAAGAGCTAAACTCAAACACACACACTCACATGTATTAAATGAGTATTTATCCAGGATCATATATTAGAAATTTAGTTAAAGTGTTCTTCTTTTGCCTGTGCTGGAGAAACATCACAACTACAGAACTTGCCTGCATTTCTTTTTTTTTTAATCACATGATAGTGCTTATTCAATAATAAATGTACCTGTGTAGAAGGAAAGAATGAAAGTGAATCCTCTTCATCTTAGGAAAAAAAAGGCATCTCACATGGTGGGGGTTCAAAAAAACCAAACTTCCACCACTCTTTTTTCTTTTTTTTCAGGTTTTATTTGATATAAGCAAGTGTTAGACCCTTTTTCTTTTCCCAAATATAAATGAGAAAAAAAAAGCCCTGTGCATGTGAGTAGATGGATCTTCCAGGACTGTCAAGCATCCTGGATCATCTGCTGAAAACTTGGCTGCCTATTTTAACTCTGTCTTTAAACAGTATTTAAAGTTATCAGGCACATCAAACTAATTTACAGACCTCCTGTTCATATCAAAACAAAGACATCTTCTGTGTTTTCAGCATTTTATTGCATGAGGATTTTCTGGACCTGCAGAACTTAATCTGAAAAGTCTTCCAGAGAAGTCAGTGATAGTTTAGACCAGGAGCAACCTGGTAGGGTAAGGTCCAGAGGATCTTTTACAATTTAGCAGATCTAGAGAATTTTTAATTGCATATTCCTCTATATATTTAAAAATAAAATAAAATAAAAAATAAATAAGTATTTTAATGTCTTCTGGCATTGAAGACAAATGTAAAACCCAAAATATAGCAAGATTTTTTTTAAAAAAAAAATGTCTTTATGCTGGCAGAGTTTGAGTCTGAATATTCATACCCTCAGAATGTTCTCAGCACTTCATTTCAGAGGTATTCTTTTAAAAATCATGAAATTGGTGGATTTTGGTGCACTTCTTTTGAAGTCAGGTTGAAGCAGATGCACGAAAGAAAGCTCTTGCTGGAATCTCACAGGGCTGGACTTAGAGAAGAGCAGAAAGGATAAATGGATTGGATTTAGGTATGAAATCAAGCTGTTTTCAGTGCCTGTATTTTGAGATGGTTTATTGTGTGGAGAAAGAGCTGTAAACCTGTTTAAAATCTATTGCTCAAGTGAAACATTTCAGCAGTTCTTAGAATGCATTTATTTAATGCAAAGTAAGTCAGAGCTTCTACTCATAGGCCAGGTCTGTTTGTGCAGGGCACCATTCTTGGCCTGGAACTTGCATGGCTACAAAACAAATTTGGCTTCCTGAGCTGTTTCAAGTCAGTAGGACAGGGATCATTCTGGCAGGGCTCAACACCAGTTCTAGCTCTGCTGTCTGCAGCTGCAGCACTTCATTCCTGACCAGGGAAGTTTTAGTGCATCCCTCTCCTTCCTGGGCACATTCAGCATCTCCATGGGTCCAGCAGGCACAGAACTTGTCAGGCACAAAGATATCTCAGCCATCCATCTGTGTAACAAAACTCCTGCCACCAGCTTGGCCTTGGAAAAGATGAGCTAATCACGGAAACACGGGATGGGTCAGGCTGGGAGGGACCACGGGGAGCCACTGGTCCAGCCTCCCTGCCCAAGCAGGGCCATCCCAGGGCACTGGACTGGGGTTGGAGGATGGTTTTGGAGTATCTCAGTGAGGCAACTCCACAGCCTCTCTGGGCAGCCTGTTCCAGTGCTTCATCAGCCATGCAGGAAGTTCTTCCTCGTGTTCAGGTGGAGTTTCCTGGGCATCGATTCCTGCTCGTTGCCTTGTGTGCCATGGCTTGGCACCATGGAAGAACTGACAGACACTGGCAGGGTCTCCTTTCAGCCCTCTCTTCTGGAGGCTGGGCAGACCCAGCTCCCTCAGTCCATCCTCACAAGAGATGCTCCAGTCCCTTCATCACCTTTGTTACCCTCCACTGGATCTGTTCCAGGAGCTCCTCGTCTCTCCTGTGCTGAGGAGCCCAGGACAGGCACAGCACTAACAAATAAAACAACTCAGCCAAGACCAGAT